CCTTCCTTCCTTCCTTCCTTCCTTCCTTCCTTCCTTCCTTCCTTCCTTCCTTCCTTTAGATATGTTCTAACCATGAGAAATTAGATTGCTGTCACTCTCATTTAGGCTTTCTTTCATATATAGATTGGTTGTTTAAACTGTATTTGAGACCTGTGAAATGTGAATGCATCTCATTGGGTTCTTCTACTTGAATGATGCCTAGGAGATGATGGAAGTGAACAGCTCAGATTTGTGTGCATCCTGTGGTTAATGAAGGCAGAGATACAATTTGCTATAGGCTATTTCTTGTATCTTCCCTCCGTCCCATCCTCTTCCCCAAAAGAGAACCATCCATTGTGAATGACGTAAATATACCTTTTGATTGCTTGAGTGTTTACATAAAATGTAGATAATTTTTCTGGTTTGCTTTTCAAGAGTGTCTAGAAGCCAATTCATGTTAATTGCCGAGCTGTAGTCTTTGCTGCTATCTATAGTTGTTTTAAAAGGGATGGAATTTTCCATAAGCTCTTGATATCAGTTGGCTAGAGATCAATTTTCACATTACAGGAGCATGTCGTTGGCATTTTCCATGGTTCCATCCTGTCCTATCCTAATCTTAATCCTGTTCTCTACCAACATTTGGATGCAATTGCTGATACCACTGTGAGTCTTCTAAATCAATCCTGTCACTTCCATATAAGTTCCACATGTTTTAAAAATACAAGTACCACGAGAGAGATGACCATAGAAATGAAACCCCTCTGATGTGATAACTGGGTCACTGATATATTTCATACCTTATTTTATCTAAGTTGAATGTAAAGTCTTGCTGACTACGTGCCCATTATCCTGCAGTTTTCTTGACAACAGTATTGGTTTGCTATTGCCTTCTACTTGCTTTTTTGACTTTCTCAACTAGCCTACAGCCTTGGAATATCCCGGTGGTCTCCCAGCCAAGGCTGTTTAGTTTTCTGAAGATCAAGGTTGGCTAGATGCTTACACCTACTTTGTAACTACAGTGAATGAAAAACACAAAGCATGGTAACATCAAGGTAATAGAAGACTCTGGAACTGGCTTGTCAGCAGATGATATGACAAGAGATGAAGGTTTCATGGAGGTTTACTGCCAAGCCCCAGTAGAAGACTTTCTGAACAGTGGCTCTGATTTTGCTGTAAGAATCTGAAGAGCTTCACACATTGCATTTTCAATATGCACAGAGATAAAAAAAAAAAAGTACAACCATAGATGTATTTTAAAACATGTATACATTCAGAACAATACAGTGTCAGACAAAGCCGGAGTCTGTTGCTTAGTAATGTGTGAAATGGCCTTTGGAGAATAACATTTAATAAACGTTGAAAATGTATTTAAATTTAACAATGCACGTGTGGCCAGTTTGAAGAACAGGGAAGACATCTACTCATTCAAGCAGTTTACTCATATGGGCAATGGAACAATGGAATTGTAAATTCAAACACAATAGAAAGTCTACTTCTGGGAAGGAAAAAAAGGACACGTGGCCCTTTTCTCTAATGGATGAGGATTCATAGTCTAGAGAGAGAATTAAAGGAACAATTTGAAAAATTCTACCATACCTAACAATTTCATGTCCTATCACCAGAAAAATCTTTGTGTTATAGGAAGTTGAAGAACAGAAGAAGTATTTTTGTTAACATGCTGTAACTAACTGTAGGGAAATCTGGAAGTATGGATCTAATCCCATTATCTATAAAAGTTGAGGGGAGGGGTGGTATTGCCAAAAATCATGTGCTTTTGTTATGTTTTCTTAGAGGATTGTGGTGGAGTTCAATACTGCTTAGCAAGAGACAATTCACATGGAATAAATTAAAAAAAAAAATTCTTCTTCTTCTCTTCACTTTCAGAAAGAATCTGAGGAATTTACTATACAAGATCACATTTGCCTTTCTTAACACTAAGCAAGGGGAAGAGACAACTCAAACCAGCAGTTTTGTTCCTAAATGGTGAGCCATCTAAAGGTAAAGGTTCCCTTTTTACTATCATCAACAACGATACAGAATGTAATATAATTTTATTATGCTGCTTTATTACATGTGTTCACATTTCTACAGAAATTGCAACTGGTAGTAACTATTACTAGCATTATTTGACAATGGTGATTACTATTTAAAAAAAATTCCAAAATCAATATTGATAATGTAATTTTTAATTAATAATTTGCTTTTAAATAATAGAAGGGCTTTTGATATCATTGGCCATCGATGGATATTGTTGCATATCAGAGGAAAGGAATTCTTTACATTAAACTTCCAGGCTTGCAGATAAGACATTAGTCCCAGTTTGAAAGCAAGGAATAGTTTGTGCAAAATAGTTTGCTCCAGACACAGTGACAGACCAAGAAATTTAAGCTTCCAGTTTCTCCCTAGATAAATGAAAGAACTAGGAGAAGAAGCTATTGAAACTGAAGATTTGTCATTAATCATGGTGAGGACATTCTGTTGATGTGTCTGAATTAACCCCGAGAGAATCTGAATGTTATCAATTTCTTTATGGCATTGTTGTTGATAAATTGTGGAATGTTCAGGGCCTGCTTTAAAGATTATCTTTCTTGCGCTACAGTTTTGTATTTGGGCACATGTTTCTCCTTTTTTGTTTTGGGTCTCACCTTGCTCATGGTTAGCTTATGAACCACGATATGTTACTGGCCAGAAAAAGAAGCTGGATTTCGTCTAATTCTGTTTGGACAGTTTTGAATCTATGGGTCCACCAGTGATGAGGACAGAAACCTCTTCTGTTTCCTGTTAAAGGCCAATGTGACAGATGTTCAGTGTTAGTCTGAAAGAAGGGTAAGGAGGAATGATTAGTAGAAGGGAACTTATTGACTAAGGTATTATAAGGGCCTAATCCTGCTAAGAATGAACTCATCTTTTGAGACCAGCCTCTACAGAAGCTGATGCTTTCATTGTTCCTTTGTTTGGAACTGCACGATACCTTTCAAGAAAGAGACGCAAAGGGCAAGACCATCCTGCTTCCTGTGGTTTAGTATTAAATCGTCTTCATGCTTCACTTGAGTGCGCTGGATAGGAGTCTGCAGATGGCTTTAAGGCAATTCATCTATTTATCTTCCTACTGCCTCTAAGTTACCTTGAAGCAAAAGAGGATGGTTGCTAAGCAACGGCTCACATGCTTTCTCCAGCTTCTAAGATAATCATTAGACCAGCTGTCTGAAAGAGGAGAACATCTGCAGAAGAGGTGTTAGATCTGGCTTAATATGCTGACCCTCATAAATATGTGGGCCTAATGGTAAGCTAGCCTGGAAGTCCTAATACCTCTCTTGCTACCTCCTATGAAACTCAAGGAGGCTATTTTCATCTTTATTCCTTTCTCCCCATATATTTGTTCCTCTTAAACAAAATTCAAACTTAAAGGTTCCACTCTGGCTTTTACTTTATAGCAGTGAGGGTTTGTCCTTGTAGTTAGTATCTATCCTGGAAAGTAATGAACTAGTATGGAAAGGTAAATTCCGTAGAGCAGCTATGTTGTAATTTAAACTCCTACCCCAGGAATATCTGGTATAGAGCATTTATTGTATTTTTATTAATTAGGATGATAATTGATGTACTTAACGTACCTATCAATGTATTTAAAAACATCAACCTATGGAGTCAGTTGCTTGGGTAGCTTAACCTTGTATATGTTACAGTTTAACCATTTTTAACATTAAAAGCAGCTTTATGCAAAAGAAAATAGGTAGAAGAATTTTTGGTGTATAAATTCTCTATTTATTAGGCAGCCGACAAGCAATTTTCTCTGAGTAATCTTCTCCCTTTTAACCGATTAATAAATAAATCCATTGATTTAAAACTAAAATACATGTTAATATAGATGCTTTCTTGACGTGCTGAAGAAAATGCATGCTTAGTTTAACCAAAAACAAACACCTATTTTCTGTTTAATTTCCAATTAAAATAATGTTCCAGAACCAACATAGCTTGAAAATAAATACTTCATTGTAGATTCAGTTAGGGTAGGGTAGTGAGTAAAGAAGAGGGCCTGGAAGGACAGAGAGAAGATCTGCTATCAAGTCAATGATCACATTAAATGAAACTTGAGCCCAGGCCAAGACGGTAGTTTGCAAAAACACCTCAGCCCCATATTCTCATGAAGGTAAAAGAGGGAGAAAAGGTAGCACATTTGGACTTGCAAGATTCTGTTTCTATAGCTGTTCTAGTAAAAGTAGCTTTAGACCCACGTGGTGTCTCTTTCTTATTCTTGTTGACCTGATAGGGCTAAAACTAAAGATTCAGGTGGGATATAGGCCAACTTCTGTTATGGAAAGATTTTTCATTCTCATTGAATGCAAAATAAACTGTATCTTATTATAAAATTAATCTATCTTTTCATTTGGTATAGTAATTTTTATCCCTTATCCTCAATTTCTGGGCATTTTTTCTTAATTGTCTTGTCATTCCTATAGCTCACTCCTATATTCTTACTTTTAAAAGTAGGATTAATGCAAAGCTCTGTAGTAGAACTCACCTATGCCTTGCTTTTCATACTCCTAACCTACAACCTACTCCTAACCTTTTTCTATTCTATTTTTCTCTTTTACTTATTTCCATACATGATATTTCTGTCTTAATCACTGTACTTTGTGCTTTACTTTCCTTCTTCTGTCCTTAACTCTAATTTATAACTGTACCTCTTAGTTCTGTAGCTTATATTTTTTCTGTTTCTGAGTCCTATATTTTTCTAGTGCACTTTCTGCATTCTCATGTCTACTTTCCCCTATCCTCAAAATATACATCTATTTATCAAATTTATATAGCTGTCCATCTAAGAAAAGGAACTCTGGATGGCAACTCCCTTGTTAATTCCAGATGTGGGGTTGGTGTCCTTTCCAATCTGACTCGCTTGCCAATGCTTGGTACTGGGATCTGGTGACATCTGGAACAGCTGCTTCCAGCTTCTTTCTGAGCTCCACAAATTAGGTGGAGAATAATCCAAGGCCATTTGGGTACAGTTCAAATCCCCAGTTTTAGAGCTGTAAAGGAAGGTTTGCCCATTCACACAATGGGAAAGCCTTCATTAATCAGAAAGCAGAATGATGAGATTGTTCCCCAGTTATCCTCCAACCCTTCCCATGAAGATATTCTCTGCTACCCCAGCTTTTTTCCAGTTTCATTTCAAACACACTATTAAGCCACACCTACCCACTATTTTTATTTCCTAAGAACATTTAGAGTTCCTGTTCCTATAGGACACAGAAGCAAACTTGTAAATTACATATGTTTATCTCTGAATTCTAAAAAAAAAAAAAAAAGTTAAGGAGAAAGAGGAGGTGGGATTGTCTGGGAAGATGTCTGTGGCCAGATTGTTGACCATGGTCCCCCTGGTAAAAGGAATCCTCTTATTTCTAGGCCCTTAATACCCAGTATTAATAATAGCAGTAAGCTATGGGGAGGACATTCTACACAATTAGGTCCTATCAAGTTTGACTCAACTGTTGGAGTCAAACTTGCATGGAGAAATGTTCTTCATCTTGATATGTCCCCAACAGTATCCTGTAGCTCTTCCAAGGACAGTCCTGCAATTTCTTTGATCCCATCCATCCTCCTTATCCAGTGTTGTCCCTTCTTCTATTTCTCTCCACCTTACCAAACACAGCTGTTTCTCTATTCCTCCGTTCCTCTGCATATCTATGTATAAGGCAAGGCTGGAGTCAAAAAAAGCATCTCTGTTGCATGTGTTCCTCAAGTCAGTCTGAGCTCCTGTGCACCCTTTTGGCTTGTGAGAGAATTCTGGCTTTACAGCATTTCTCTGGGCTCTAACATGTCAACGGTGTGGAGACCGAGGTGGCTGCCTAACTCAGTGCATTGCTGCACGTGAGCCTGGTTCTCTTGGGTATAAATACATCTTGTTATAAAAGGAAAATGACAGACAGCAGCATGATCCCTGGTGTGTTGATCTTCTTCCTGGAACTGCTTGCAATGATTCTCTTATCCTGAGATCATCTCTCTAGAGTGATTCTAAGGACATAGCAGTTCCTAGCCTGTTGTGGAAAACTACACTACAGGAGGTACAAATGAACCCAGTGGAATTCCCTGTGCTCAGGGCAGGGTGGAAAGTTTGCCCCGGTTGGTTGTATTTGATTTCTCTCATTTTTTCCCTCATGATCTGTAAATCTGCTTACTCCCTTTTGTAAAAGAAGTTATTCTTTTTGTGTGAGTTTTACTTCTACATAGTAAAAAGAAGCAGCTTTACTTTTCATGTAACACTTGAATACTTAGGGGAAGTTTAAGCAGGATTTAAAATAGCCAGGTTGAGTAAGAGTATGTATGTACTTATATATTTATATATTTATATAATATATAATATAATATATGTATATATTGAGTAAGTATGTCTTTGCTTTGTTTAGTTTAGCAAACTATCTTTGCTAGTTTAATATATCTAGATTGCTTGGAGTACTTGGCGGAGAACATAAGTATAAATTGGTATGTGTAGCCCAAAGAGTTGGTCACCAAAACCTGACCATTAAGAGAACTGCAGAAGGCTTTTCTGGTGATATTACAATGTTATCATAAGGAATGGGGTTTAATTTTTGTGGGGAGTGCAGATTAAGGTGGGAATGGAAATGGAAGACCTGTGGGAGGCAAACAGCTCTACCACCATCCTTATACTTGTCCTAAATCTGCAAAGTCTTGAAATGAGTGGCATCAAGGATGGAATGGTGCTACTTCTTCAAAAGGGAGCTGGGAATTCAAAAGAGGGAGAGGAGGAATGACATTATATGTGAAGGAAATGCACACATGTTTAGAGATACAGGAATTTGAGCACATGCTTCTAATTAAGAGCATGTGGGTAAGAATATAAGGGAGTAGAAACAACAATGACATTATTGTGGAGCATGGGCTACTGGTCTGACAAGCCAGCCACTTGGATAATCCCGCCCTGCAGCAGATTACAGAAGCTAAGAGAAGAGAGACATAATAGTAATAATGGGAGGCGTCAGCTA